TACAATAAGATACATGTGCCAACCAACACATCCGGAGTCTCACTATGGGATGGACACAAAAGGTGTTGATCTAAAGCCTTGTCATTTTCTAAAAGCCTTGGAGAAGGGAGTTCGTTTTTGATTCAGGATTCTGAATTGTCTCGAATCACCTAGTACAGTGATTAGGGGTGCACCTACATCCTGGGAAGGTGTTTATTGACGTGGACAGGAACCAATTATGTACATGAGCCCTTGACCATCCTTGACCCATCTTGGCATGTTCGGCCTAGGAAGCCACTTCAATATTTCTGGAACGCAGAAAGGAAAAGGATCAATATCAGCAGCACTTTGTCTAGAAATTTTAATTGGTCTGTTCATGTTGAGCTAAGTCACCTTTTGCCCATGTGCTGAGTCACCATCTTTCCCACTACGCAAGCTCCCCTCTGCCCGTCAACGTCGACTTCAGCTGTGAGGACTTCCACCCCTGGCGCAGCTGGAGGAGACGGTTCGAACCAAGAAAATCTCACGTGGTGGGGAGCACCTCTATGCCCGACCGAAACCGTCGGCGTTCCGACCGAAACCTTCGTCACAGCCTGCGGTTCCGGCAAAAGATCCGGAGCAAGAATAAGCTACTAGTAACAAAGGGCATCGCTACTGGTAACTCAATTACTCAATCAAGAAGGAAACTGCTGGAAGAGTTGGAGTAAATTTAGTTTTGATTCTAATTCATTGTTTCTAGTAGCGTCCTTGCTCCTAGTAGCGATGCCAGGAGCCCCTAGTAGCGTCCTTGCTCCTTGTTATATCTCATGAATCTGTATATGTGCTCAATCCCTTACCCCACCACCGACAGCCCTCAAAAAACCTGCGGGCGCCTTCAAGGCGCGTCGCAGTGGTTCACTTTGAGGTCCTCTATTTTGTGAGGCTTGCTCGATACTTCATCTATCGCAGACAACTTGCAACAAGTCTCCCACGCCCCTGCTGCCCTTCCAATCAATCAATGACAGGGGTTCAAGGAATCAGAGTCAGAAGTATCGCAAACAGGGAGGAGGCAGACACGCAGAACCAGCGAACCAAGACGAACTCACGTTCACCCGCTGAATTCATGCGAGAACAAAGACAGAACTGTGATAAGGTGTCCATTTCTGTGGAGATGTTTCTGGAACTTTCTCTGAAAGTTCTGCAACTAACCTAGGATGTTCTGCACCTGTATCCTTGAACTAATATCCGTAATGTTTCTAATCCTAGTTCCGCACCTAGAATTAGTTTAAAGTAATGCATCGATCATGTAGGCATATGTAGGCATGATAAAACCGACGTTAATTTGGTCCTTGCCACTGACTTTCCTGCATAAAGTATACTGTATCATTTGTATCGTGAAGGCATGACTCAGATGATTGGACTACAATGAATTGAGGTCTCGAGGCCTTCTCCATTTGCCAAGACTAGTGGAATCGCCGCCGTGCAAGCGAAGATGCCCCACTCTTGAGTACCGATGATGAAGATGCGGTCCAGAGAAGTTTCATCCACCAAAAGAAGGTGTGATACAGCCATCTTGGTGTAGCTCTACGCAACCCGCGAGACCAGAATAGGCACCCTCAAGGATCTGTAGCGGCACCCTCATCTGTGGCATTGGAGGGATCTAGGATGATTTGTGTATACGGTGGTTTTTAAACGTTCCAAATTTTGTCTTAACACTTCTTGGGAACCTCAAACCCGTATAGTAAGACTAAAGACCACTGGCTGAGTGTCTCCCCTTTTTGATACTGATGTTTTTTTTCAAGAACACTTAGTCCAAAGGACGACGCTGATGGAACATATCACGTGAAACACATCGGATAAAGTATGGATCTCCCACTGCATAGAGTTCTATGTCGCAAATCCAGCTTTCTTTTTCCAGAAGGAACCTCAGAACACTCGCTTCTCGAGCAATGCGTAGATGGACACCCAACATCTTCAGATGTGGTCTGGGCTTTCTTCTTGAGAAGAGATCAGAGGAGCTTTGGTGCCGCCCTCCTGATCCTCCACATCTCACAGTGGCGCAGCGAATGCAGCCCTTCTTGGCCCGCCTGCGGAATGTGCCTTGGTTGCTGTACCCAGCCAAGAAAAACGTTGGGTTCAATCACCATCTTTTGGACATTCTGTGGATCAGTCAAGAACCAGTCCCACAACGTCATCCTTGGGTTTTATCAATTGAGGAGGACGTGGGTTTTATCAACAACCAGTCTCACGATCATTTCAATAGCTTTTGGGTATGGTTTGGTCCAGAGTCGATTCCTCGAGTTGCCAGCATAGTGAAGAAGACAGATTCACTACATGCATGAGGACTTGTGCATCAATAGACACCTCTGGAATGGTAGAATCAAGTAGATTTTCTTTTAACCAAGACTGCATGTGACCCCATGAGACTGACTTCAGCCCTGGCTGGTTGGCTTTCTAGCTTTTCGGGACTCATGTCCGGCCCGAAGTGCATGATGACCTAAGGATGTCCCAAGGGCCTCCCAGAAAGGGGGCGAATGACCGTCCGACTGAACCAGTACTTTGGGTGCTGAACTGCTGAACCTCTGATGGTTGGTTCTTCACCGTTCGTCCTCCCCTGGTTGCCACAAGCACCGTCACGACCCGTCGCGACCTGTCGGCCTCTTCCCAAAGCCGGCCCCTCCCGCGAGGCCACGGACCAGGTCGCAGCCTCGATGCACTCCTGGTGGATCCGCCGCCGCGAGCGCGTGGCAGCGGACGTCCGAGAAGATGCACCGTCGACGCCGGCGCTGATCCAGGTGGGCGGATGGAGGATTTTCATCCCGAGCCAACGGGGTGTGATGGCAAGCGGTGGTTTTTGCGTGCTTCAATAGATTCGTATTTGGGGAGGATGAGAAGGAAGAAAGCGGGTGAAAGCAGACTTTCAGCTCCCATTTGTTCCTGATGCACATATCCAATTTCAGCTGCGAAGATCGTCCAATGGCACCCGATCTTCAGAAAACCTGGAAAATACAGAGATGTCTTAACGTATGCATATGCAAGATTGTAACATATTGTCTTACACCACTTGTAACATATTGTATACTTGTTTGAGCTTAGACTCAGACATTCTGTTCGACGAGGTGCCTGGATCCCAGCTGCTCCTGGCTGCCGACGTGGCCCGGCGCCGGAAGCACGAGCTGCTGTCGGCGCTGCGGCGCACACTGGACTTCTTGTGTGGCTCGGTTCCGAGAAGAACCGCATGACGTGGATAGAGTCAGCTGATTTCGCACCATGGATAGAGCCTTTGGTGTCAGCTCATCCGTTGGGCCCATTGGACGTCGGACACTCCCGGTCGGGCGCATGAGGCGCCCGATGCGCCGACCTGTTGGATGATATGATGTAATTGATGTAATGGTTCAAGGAGACAAACCATTTCATCCTCCCATTTTGTTGGAATGACATGACCTCAACGAATTCACCATGACCATCATGCCCTTCTTTTTGGGATGATCAACCACCTTACTACCACTCCCCAGGCCGCGTTCGAACGCGCCTCCGTTCAGGTGATGACGCGTGTGGCCTTTCGGATCCACCCAAGCTACGGATCACCTGACCACCACCGGGCCCCGAGACACCGGCGCCGCGCGCTCCTGACACCGTGGGCGCAAAAGGGGCGGGTGGGAGTGGGAGGTGTGGCGATGGAATGAATGAATGGGTCGAATGAGTCTTTGTTGCATATATATATATAGATAGATGTAACAGGTTAAAATAAGGCACCGGGCACCATTCATAATCCGTAGAGGAGTCACAAGGGGAATTCCGCCTGAATGTTCCCAAATCTCCATGGATTCACTTAACCTTGCACGATCGGAAATCGAAACTCCGTGCAGAATGGATGTCAAATGTGTCGCTGAAGCATTTGAGCGGATTTCCGACAAGAGAGAGGACAAGATGATACATCGAGCAGTCCTGTTTTCCAGGCCACACCCGGAAACACTCGGCAAAGTACACGATCGGTCTGGGAGATTTGTGCCCAAAAGGTTGTTTGTGGGCTGCTGCACAGACGGAAAGGAAGCACGGGGCACTCAACAAATGTTCAGGGCATCTGAGAACTGCGTGACCTAAGAGTGACCACTGCGTGACCGAGTCCTAAACCAAGACGCAACGTCTAAAGGGGTTGACCAACCACAGGAATATGCTCTGAGCTAGGCTGCTCCAAACATCCACCAGCCCAGCCATGTCGGCCAGTGAGAAAAGCCTTCAGGCTGGATGTTCTGCCAAAAGATTGTTTTCCACTTGCATGTCAGTAAGTGTCCGTGTAGGTGACGGAAAACTAGAAAGATGCATTGTGACACGGTGTATGCTACCTCTCGTGTTGCAGGGTTTTGTGCCGAATGGTTGGGTTGTCCTTTTCTGGGGCGAACCAGAACACTCCAGAAATCTTCCTTTGCAGACTGTGGGCCCAAAGATGGCATCAATGAGCAACAGGAGCAAAGGGACCACCAACACATACCAAAACCAAAACAAACTTCCATCAACAGTAGGTGAACAAATGGATGTGCATCAGAACAGGAAGACCTGCCAAAGACTTCCTGGAAGAAAAACATATAATTAGAGAACACGTATGAATTGTGTAGTGAACTTAATCGTACAGCTGATGGTGAAGGATCCCAACTGCCCTAAGAAGGAGATCTGACGTTTTTCGAATGCCCCACTGCTCCGAAGAAAGGCCCGAAAGCGAGCGAGCTCGCCAGCGGCCAAAGGCGGCCCGCCCCACGCCGGTCGTCCACGGAACGTATCCTCCCTAAGTGGAACATGGCCCCGGGACGCCCCTGGAGGCCAGAGCACTTATTCTCCGACGAACGCATGGACATGGAATATGGATGAATATGGCCTTTGGGGTAGACGATTCTCCTCTAGAAATCCAGGGAAATCCACTTCCGGATGTGAGGATGAAACTCACCAGATGGAGATGTTGGGAACCATTTCTGAAAGTTGGGAAATCTGTTTCTTATTACTCTATTTTTTTTTTGGGGGGGTAGGCCGCTAGAAGAGGTGAGGTAGCTAGGTAGAAGTAGAGGTAGCTAGTAGAAGCTACGTGGACCTAGTACCTACAAGTAAGCTACATATCACTTAATATGGACGCAGGATAGCTCACGCTTCTTTTAGGAAGCTCCCCGCGGCGCCCTTGAAGAGTCGCTCGCACTAGTAGAAATGCCCTTGTTCCTTGTAGCTTCTTGTTCCTAGTAGTAAGGCCGGAGCCCCTAGTAGCGTCCTTGTTCCTAGAATTTTGAGGGAACGCCATTTCTGAATGTAACCGTCTACATGAAAGGTGGCCTGGCTGAGTCTTCAGCAGCAGTCAATGGACCATACGTGTTCCAAGGAGTGCACCCTTCTCCTAAATAGTCACCTGTTCCGCAGTCACTGGGCCCCTATGCGCAGCATACCATACGCACGGCTGCGTGCTGCGTGTGCTCGTTCGAATCCACTTTGAATGCTTCGACGAGTCGGATCTTTCATAGGCTTCCATTGATGGATCCTCAGGGATGCTCGGATGCTCCGGAGGTCGGATCTCCCACCCAGCCAAATGGGTCGAATCACAAAGGAAGGTGCTGTTCAGGCCCTTTTTAGGCAAAGCCTCTGGATGGTGCGGCCGTTGTAAGAGAGGCTCAATGAATTGCAAGTTGGTAGAGCTACAGGTTGCCGGGTAGCTTGACGCTTGACTCTTCTCTTCCACCCGTCTACTTTGGGTGCCCATCGTTTTTTTTCAGACGAGAAAGGCATCGGCAAACATGGCCGAACGGATTTTGTGGTGGAAGGATTTTTTTGGTCTTCTATTTTTTTGAAGGGACCGAACGGATGCTTTTTCCCATGCTCCAGGCCAAGCAGACCCTAAAGCCAAAGCTGCTGCAAAGGGTCCTAATAAGGGTGCCTTGGCTCGCGGACCACAACGACTTGTGACGTGAAGACAAATGTTTTTGCTTTTCCAGGCTGAATTCTGCAGGCCCTTCAGAAGCTGAATTCATGGGGTCTCAAATGGACGGTCATCTTCCCGGGAAGATACGAGGCGGTACTGGACCACTTCGCAGACGGGTGTATTTTGGGGTGTTTTCCACCAAGTTTCCAAGTTCACGGCTGCAGAACGCGGAGTTTTTCGATGTGCCGCCAGCCCGATCACCATGATCATGCATGGCCTGCAAAGCATTTGCTCGTAGCTCGGGGATGCCCTCAGTAAGTTCGGGGGAGATGAACCCAGCAAGCAGCAAGCAGCATAAGATATCTCACCAGTTCTTTTATAGGATTTGACACTGTGTTTGGATGTGTGTGGGCTTTCTTGGGCGTGACCTCTTTGGTTTTTTTGGGGTCAGAAATCTCTGCCCGCATCCTCCATCCCAAGCGTGACTGGACTACGCACAGTCGTGTCAGCTGCACTGGCTGATGGTCCGAGGTGGTAAAGAGGTTGACCAGACGGAGATTCAACAGCTGTCTGATGTGGTGGAAGGCGAACCGCGGTCGGCGATGTGACATTCCTTGAGAACGATAGAAAATGTTCTGCCGGCGGAACTGGAAGGACTTGCCGCGCAAAAGAAACGGGTCCTGAGTCCTATGTGGTATCCCATCTCTACAAAAGAGAGAGAGAGAGATCATAACAGGAGGGGCATTTGGTCTAGGGGACACTGCAGACACGCCCCAAACTTCTGCGGTGTCCGCGCTTTTGGGAACTTGGGCCTCCGGGTCCAAGAACGTTCTCCAGCGGACCCCACCGGGTGGGGCTGTTCGGACCGGACGCCGCTCCAGGCTTTCCACCGCAGTTGTGTGCCTTGGCCTTGGGCTCCGCAGGGCTGGCTCGCGCCTGGGTGGTGAGCGACGCTCTGCTGCTGCCGCGGCTCTTGTGTTTGGTGCGGCTGCCCAGTGCGGAAGTGCGGTGCCAGGAGGCGACAGGTCATGAACCTACAAATCATACATTATATACATAAGATGTTATGATATTTAGTATATATATATATATGGATATGTTATGTATTCATACATCTTAAAGGCAAAGGACAATTGCGGCAATGATTTTTCACACGTATCCTGCAAACGTTTGCTCTTAGTCGTTCCAATTACTCGGCCCATGATGGTCTCTGGGAGGGTGTGCTGAAACAGTTGTCACTGGCATGTGCTTCCTGTGCCTTCCTTGTTCGATTTACAATGGTTTCCGGAGTAGATTGAGTTGATCACCAAAGATGTCTATCAGATAGGGGCCCATGTAAACCAAACGTGGGGATTGTGCCATCTACTCTAAACCTCTCTCAACCCTCTATGCATTTTTTCTTGGCCTCGCAAACAACACCGGTTCACCGGAGGTGAGACAACTCAGACTCTGGGGACGCAAAAGTAGGACGGTGAAACACGGTGAAAACCATTCATGAAGACCTCGTGCTAGCATAACAGTAACAGTGTGAGCATTCAGTAACAGTGAAACCTGAGCATTCAGTAACAGTGAAACCGTTCCTTCATGACCTTCATGAAACTGTTACTGAACTTAGTTGGTTCAGCACTCGCGTTGCGGCACTCGTACCTGCGCGTGCTGGCACTCAGAAGTTGCGTTGCAGCACTCTGTTTTGTAGGGACACCCCAATGCGATTTTTTGCGTTGAACAAATGCATTTGGGAATTGGTTTTGGGTAGTAGAGTGCCAGAAGTAAAGTCTGAGCGAGCAGCCATGTCGGCCCTAACACCGGAACAGGTTCTGTTGCTGCGCCATGCAGGCCACTCTGTTGGGGAGGAGTGGCGGCATGTGAAATTTCCTGCTCGGGGCGTGAGCGAGCAACAGAGCAAGCTTGTGAAGGCATGGTTCCTGTATGTGCAGAGTGGCAACTCCAAGCCATTTTGGGTTTGTTCGAAGTGCCCTTGGCAGAACTCCATGAGAGGCTTGACCCGCCCATTGGAACACATGTGCTTTAAAGGAATTTCGCTGAAAGAGAGCTCGTACATCGAATTGCACAAGCTCAAGAAGACGTCGGACATTCCCCTACCCTACAGGGAATGGCTGGTTGCTTACAAGAAGCAGGGAAACAAAACGTCTGGTTGCAAGGAAGCAGCGACCAAAGACCAGATCCTCAATTGGGCTGCTTTGGGTATTCCTGCAGCTGTGCAGTGGGCCATTTTCAACCATTGGGTGCCAATAGATTACAAGCCATGTGGAGTTGAACGACCAGAAGAGCGGGTGCCAATCTCCAATGAGGAGGCCACTCGGAGACAGGTTGTAGCCTTTGTTTGCTCAGGTGTCGCCATGAATGCCGGCAATGGGTCACACTGGGAGAACTTTTTGCGTTACATAGCTCCTGATGTGAATCACCCAGGCAAGACCTTTTGCAATCATGCCTCGGTGTTCCAAATGCTGTTTTTCATCTTGAAAGAATGCATATGGGTTGCTTGCTCCAAGTTCATCCTTCCATATCCTCAATGCGTTTTTTCAACCTCAGAAAGCACTGTGGATTTTTTTGTCTGATTTCACCCTTCTATGTCCCAAATGCGTTTTTTGAACTGGTTGCATTGCATCGGAGTGAGCGCCCGCAGGCCGAAAGAAGCTCGACTCTGCCTTGTGCTCGCTACATGAAGAATTGGAGGAAAAGATCACAGCGCGACTGCAGGACCCAGCACATGGTCCTTGGTTTCTATCTTCTGATGGTGCCACGAACCGAGGGGATGCATTGGTGACAGTCGATGC